GTCTGAACCCCTGGTGGTGGAGGAGCTTGATACGAAGTAGATGCTCCGTTTTGCTGTTGTAACTTGGTGATTAGCTCAGCCTGCTGGGCCATGATTGCAGCTTGCTGCTTGGAAAATTCCGCTTGGCAGACGGTGTCCTACTGCATAAGTTTCATACTTTCTTGGAGTTGACGCATCATTGCCTCCATCCCTGACGTGTTCTGCTGATCCATTTGACCGACTGGTATATTTATCTTTATGGCAACAATTGAGACCTCAGCCCGACTGTCCACTGATAGGGTAGACCACTACTCTGGCAACCTCTGTTCAGATACATTGCGTTTTCTCGGCCTCCGTCTAATAACCGGGGGTAGAGAGTAGAACACTGGTTGTCCGTCGACCAGATCCTCAGATCGATTGAGTCGGCGACCTCTTGTCTAGAGTGCTTGGGAAATATCTGCTTGGTCTAAAGCAATTGTGCTGAACTACCCCTAGCAAAAAGATAAATAAAGCAATAATAAGGAAATAAACAACCAGACAAACGGACAACATAACGGCTTTAAATAAATACGCAACACACAGTTGGGCATCATAACACACAGTCGATAAGCTGAAAATACTGTTCTCATACACTTATCATTATTCTCAAATCACTGCCCCCAAAACTGAATTTGAAACCTGCAGATAACTGATTCCCAAAATACTGAACTGGTGCCCGCAGTCCTGATGCCCAAACTTGCAAACTGATACATGCATTCCTATAGAGACGCACTCTAAAAGCACATAACAAGCAAGTGAGAGCCAAAACACCCCTATGTTGGGGGTAGGGTTTCTCTGTCCTATTTTGTCAGGAGCTAGGGTTTCACTACACACGCAGCGGTTTCAAACAACCTATAATCGAGTAAGTAACCTGTCCTAGTTTGGAATGGTCACTATGGATTCCGAATATGCACTAGGTCGAATGGTCAAAAGGGTGCCTCGGTGAAAATCGGGATTTGTGTTCCCGTCGTGGCAGAGCCCACAACCGGTCAGCCTTATGGCACGCTTCTCGAAGCGAGCCTCCGGTAAACTGTTCAGGAATAGCATACGGTAAACACGGTGTCCTAGGCGCACCAATGCACATGCAATGCAAAGAAACACATAAGTGTAGTCAAAACAAGATATCATGAGTTCGAGTCAAGTTCTCTAAATCCCCAGCAGAGTCGCTAGAAACTGTAGACGTCCCTGAACGTCCCAGGAGGGAAATCCTGTTCTGTTCATTTGGGGCTCACTACAGTTCAGGACTCAAAAGTCACGGTCCTGTATCTAATCTTGCAGAGTGCAATGCAAGACCGATGAATCATCAAAGAGTCCAAATCCGGCAAATCGTTTTTGAAAACAGATTTTTTTGAAAGAAGTGCCAAACATGGACTGCTTTGCCAGATACAGAGTCGCCACGTAACCATGATATCGAGTTTTGAAAACATTATGTGCTCTTATTCCAGTTATTAGCCTAGATTTACTATGTGATGCGCATAGCATACAAGTATAGACTAGGTCGCCTGAATTGGAACAAAACATTTTATGTTTGTTTATTTTGAAAATGGTTTGCTACTCGTAAGTAGGCTAAAATGCGGGTTTCGACGAATTATTCCAACTCAAGCAACCCAACCTTCATCCACAGGCATTCAGGCAGGTATATCACATAAGCACATAGCCTCACGGTAAACATGCTATCATGGCACTCACTCACACACATGCAAGGATGCTAAAGCATTAAAACTTGCTCAAGCGAAAGTGTGAGACACAAAGTGGTCGCTCGAGCGTGGAATCCGTTGCTCGAGCGTAGAAACAGAATTCTGGAATTTCCAGAATTGCTTCCAAGCTTCAAAACTCAATCTTAAAACATCAAGCTTGATTTTTCTAGGCCAAAACTTGAGGAAACATTGAGAAACTCATAAAACATCATGAATTAATGATCATTTCAAGAAATCATGGCCCAATAACTTGCCAATTGCACAAACATTCAACTTAAAATTTATGAATGTTTCATGAACATGACATGCATGAACTTCTTTGAACTTAATCTTCTTAAAACATGATCATTGCTACAAAACAACATGAAACTTGATGATTTCCCAAAATTAAGGTGAATTCAAGACATGCATAAGGGAATTCTTAGAAATTAAACTCAAAATATGAGAATATGCATGCATGCATGGTATGGCTCAATACTCTTCATTTCTAACTCAATTCTTACATTAATCATCTCAATTCTCTAGAGTTCATGTCTTGCACTTCATAGTTGCTCAAACAAAGGGTTGAATTCTTACCTATACTTGTCAAGATGAGAGCTAGGAGTTTGATCCTTGAGTTCCTTCGTGTAAATTCACAAGTTCTCAAGCAATCCTTATAATTTAGCTCAACTTCTCTTCTTTCTTCCTCTCTCACGTTTTGATGTTCAATTAAGAGGAAATGGAAGTGTAAAAACAATGTGTAGTAGTCAATGAAATGGCCTTATATAAGCTTGACTAATAAATTCATTAACTTGGGCTTAACTGAGCGTTAATCATTTTAATTATTTCATTCGGAATCAAATTTTAATTAAAATTACCATAATATTCTAAAAATTCCAAATAACACATAAATCAAGCCAATTTCTAAATCGGATGTCAATAAGGCCTTCAATTCGCAAACCGAATAAAAACATGAACAGATATTTTTACATTAAATAGATATAAACACAAAATAATGCAATGCACATGAAATTAACTCAGGATTTCTTCTTAATTACTTATTAGGCATACTTAAGCATGAATTAGCGCTAATCATGGGTCGGGGTTATTACAAGCTTTCACTAGTTTACTGTGCGTGAACGTTGGGGGTGGGACCCACCAGATAATCGGCCTAACTGAACAATTCCCAAAACACAGCCATGGTTTGGACTACGAATTGGCTTGTAGAATTGTTTGGTTTTTGTGGCACCAATACGACACCTCTTACCAATATTGATGCATGGATAGCAGAGGCAAATACATTGCATGTAGATTTAAATTTGTACCAAAATTAGTCGTTCATTTACCAGGGTGCAACTCCAATAAGGTTACCGTTGGTTTTGCATAGGATTTGACAAAGTTGCCATTGTTGTGGTCTATAAAATAAGACTCTACCAGTCTTTTAATTTCACAATATCATTACAATTTCTCTTTTCTTTGTCATTGTTAACTTCAATCTTCACTTTTTCTTTCATTTGACTTCTCATTGTGTGACCTTCAGTCTATGTTATTTCTTCAATTTTTCACTTTTTTCTTTAATTTTTTTCTTGTTTCTTTTACAATATATTTCACTGTGTGTTGGATGTTGTATCCTATTGAATTTTTTTAACTTGTTTATTTATACAAATTTTATCTTAAATCTATAGAAGATTTTGAAATGTTTGAGGAATCACAAACTTCAAAGCAGAACACTGATATTACTTTTATTTCGAAAAGTTCTCGTGTTTCTCATGGTAAAGCGTTCACCATTATAGAAGATAAAACTTTATGTTGATCTTGGTTGGTTGTCTCTCAAGATCCCATTGCTAGTAATAGTCTGACCATGGCACTGTTTTGGGAATGAGTACTTGTTTATTTTAATTCACAATTGAATGGTGAATCAAATCGAAACCGTATTTCTTTGTCTCACCGTTGGTCTGTCATGCAAAAGGCAATTAATAAATTCTATGATTTTCTTGAACAAATCCAAGTGAGGCAACAAAGTGGAACAACTGAGGCAAACATGGTAATTTTCATTTTTGTTATTAAATATCAATTTTTTGAGTTCTTAGTCTACTTTTTATCGAAATGTTTATAATTTTCATCTTTTAGGTTGATGAAGTTAAGCGCGTAGCATTATGTCTATATAGAGTCCATTTTCAATAGCTTTAACTGAGGTAGGTGGTGGAGGGAAGTAATGAGGTGGTTCAATTTGTTTAATGAAGTAGTTGGGTGGTTGTGTGTGTAAATGAGGCATTCATGAAGATGGTGAAGTTTGCAGGCTTTTTCATTGTATGCAAAATAAATATAGCAAACAAGTTGTTCATAATCATCCATAAAAATATACAAAGAATTAGTAACATAAAAAATTCACCAAATACTCAAATTTGTGTGGTTGAGGCATACCATCCAAAATCAATCTGACATGGAAGATACATATTCTCATAATTTCTTACACTGATCAAGATATTGACTTCGTGAATGGTGGATATATATATATAAGAATCATGAGTCATTTGTAATTTATTAAATTTAGATACAGAACAAGTAAATTAGTTATTCACTAAAGTAAGCTATATGTTATAGTTATCCATATCAGTAGTCCAAATCCATATCATTAGCCATCATATGCCATACACTATGATCATTTAAAATTCAATCTTAAGGACTCATTAACACAATTAATACTTGTGCATTGAAATAATACAATCATCATATTCACAATATGTCAAAATAATCAATTAAAAAGAATGTGTAAATGAATGTTTTTAAGGGTATAAATACCCAACATCAGTTTTATAATTCCAAAATAATATGAACAATCTATTGAAATATTTTGTTACTGGAATTACTTCAATTACTTCAATTCCTTAATGGCTATATTTTTAGTTTTATTTTTTTGTGTTTATGTAGTAAATATGTTCATAAAAACCACTTTATTAACAGTACATTTCACATGCACACTTTAGAACATCAGTAAATTATCACATCAGTACGTTCAAAATTAACACTATTTTTTATATTAACAAAGTTATCACATCAGTACATTCAAAATTAACACTATTTTTTATATTAACAAAGTTAACGGACCAATAATACTAGCAAAAACAAATGTGTATAGGTTGAAGAGCACCAACAACAAACACTGACAACATTTGACTAACAAAAAAAATGATGTATGTAAATGAGATTTAAGAGCAACAACAAACACTGACAACCTTCCTTACGTAATCAGCTCCCAATCCAAAAAGCCAATTAAAAGTTCATGTTCTCATCCACGTGGTGAAGTTAGTTTTCACCATGAAGATGCCACATATGTTCTATCAAATCGTTGCGAAGGGCATAATATGTATTCTTATCTCTAATACCTAAATGACAGGACATAAATGATTGAAATTCATTGTTACTGCTACACGAAACTAGTACTGGTGAGTTGGTTGATGAAATTTCATAATTGAAATCAATATGCTCATCTCTCTCATCTTCGACAATCATATTGTGCAATATAACGTAACTCTTCATTATGTTATCAAGCATTTTGGGATCCCAAAAATGTACTGGACCACCTACAATTGCAAATCGGGATTGGAGCACTCTGAATGCCCGCTTTATATCCTTCCTTGTTGACTCTTGCATTCTTGCAAAATGTTGCTTCTTTGCTCCTTGGGAGGAGGAGATTATCTGAACCAGTGTTGCCCATTAAGGGTATATACCATCAGTAAGTTAAAAACCCATATTATAAGTGTGTCCACTAATAGTGTAATGGACAGGCGGAGCTTTACCTTGGGCAAGATCAGAAAATAAGGGCGACTGATCAAAGACATTCAAGTCATTGTGTGATCCAAGCATTCCAAAAAATGCATGCCAAATCCACAAGTCATAAGAAGCTACTGCTTCAAGAATGATGGTTGGCTTTTTCTGATGGCCTACGTATTGACCTTGCCATGCTGTTGGACAATTTTTCCACTCCTAAACCCACGAACCTCTCCGATAGCAAGTAATCTAGCAATATCAGTTGTTATTAGAGATCTAAGATATTCAGGTCCAAAGATTTTGATTATTGAATTGCAAAAGTATTTCAAACTTTCAATTGTCGTGCATTCCCCAATTCACACATAATCATCAATTGTATCTGCTGCCACTCCATATGAGAGTATTCTAATTGCTGAAGTCATCTTTTGAAGTGGAGACAATCTGAGGATATGAACTACATCTTTTTTTTTAACAAAATATGGATCGTGTGCTTCAATGGCATTCAAAATTCGTAAATACAGAAGACGACGCATTCTAGAACGTCTCTGAAATATTGCAGGTGAATAAATCGAATTTGCCGCAAAATAATCCGCAAACAATCGATCATGACCCTTCCTTCTATCGCGACCTATGCATTTATGTCCTATAACAGAACCACCTCTTTTCTTTGATTGATCACTTGCTCTCAGAATTTGTATCATACTAGCATTGTTTATCTCATAAGCACCCATAAGTTTCACAATTTTTTCATCATCACATTCATCATCAGAAGATAAGGAAGAAGAAGAGGATGAAAATGAAGTGAACAAATAAAAAGTTAAGCTAGTCGTTATTGTTGGCTTTTTGGCTTTCAAAGGTTAGTATTGTAATTTTAAGCGTACCAATAAGGATCAATTAGTCCTTACATAAGATTAATTGCCAACCAATTATCAGATGATTGTGTTTTAGTTCTTTCAGCCTCAATGAAGAAGACTTTTTGCTAGTGGCTTGTTTAGGAGAATTTAGAAAACAACTATTAAATGAAGAATAATTGCAGCATTTCATTAAATAAAAATGAAAACTTTCAATGATTTGACCCAGCCTCGTAAAGGTTTACAACAACAAGCTATTCGAAACTACTCCTATGAATGAAGTGCAATACAGGAATTCAAAGTACAGAAATGTAAAGAACTGTAAAAACTGGAAGGAAAATAAAGTAGATAAAAACTGGTTTCTAAATCTGAGTCTGGGTCCTCCTTTTTGGGGCCTTCTCTGCTATTTATACTTCTCAATGATAACCGTCGAAATGGGCTGCTGACCGTCGAAATATACCTCCATTATCGCTGATCATGCTCTCTCCCAATCAGCTCCACTACGCCATGTTCGCTGTTAGGTTTCCCACATGATTTTGAATTTGAATCTTGTAAGTAACCGTTAGGCCACATCATCTTATATCCCTCGATCATTCTAGTGCTACACAAACCCATTATTACCAGTATGGGTTGATACGTGTTTGACTATGGTTGGCAATTTATATTACCTTTCCAAATTGCCCTTCTCATGTCACGTGTTGAATTGTGATTGGCTTATACAATTTATACAGCCAACATTACCCCCCGCACTAATATACCCAATACTTGGTGATATTAGTGGATCAAAACATTCCACCCACATCCTAGGACGTGCATGGGTTTCTCATCTTCTTAGAACTGCAACCGACTGCATTAAATTCTTGAACATTTCCCACTATCTGAGCATTTGAAAAGACTGATACAGCTCGTATGGCCAAACAAGCTTTCTTTGACATAGATCGAGCACACAAGGAGTTGTTAGATAATGATGTTCGCCCTCGAAAGAATTTTCATGCATTTCTTAGCCACACCTATCCATCTCCATAGATTCAAGTCATGGAAGCTTTTGCAAGCTATCGACCTTTGGATTACGAACCTATTGTTCATAATTCTTTAGCCCAAAATTTTTCAAACATGGATATTCGAAGCGCTTCTTCTAACCCAAAACCTTCTGCGTGGGATGAGGCTGCAGCTTCTTCTTCTTCTTCTAAGACTTCTGGCTGGGGAAGCTAGCCAGAACCTAAGGAATCCAAGCTGAGAGACTGAATTAATCATCACTTCGTTGAATTCGTTGATCCCCTATCTTTCCCTCATTTCACTCGGAGTTCGGTGGTTTACCCATATGTATCCATCGATCGCTAACGCAGTTTGGAAGATAACTTACTTATAGCATGGTACACATCCTCTATATCTACGAAGATAGTGCAAGCCACTCGTCGTCCAGAGAAAGCACAAGGGTACCGCCCGTCATTCTTAGCCTAGAGGGCAAAATTTTGCTCTTCTAACTGGCTTGATTGCGTAAACAACCCCTAGTTCCTTTCTTCTTTTGAGATGGATCCTCCGGCACCTCCTCTTCTGCAAAATCCTCACTGGATGGAAAAACTAAGATTTACTCTCTTTGAGAATCAGTTTCTTCCTTCCTATAAACCTCCAGTTCCCCCCACTATATTTTAGCGATATCAAGCTCAGCTTCTGCTTGCAGCCTTTTCTCACTTGCCCTTAAATGTTCTTGAGGGTGATGTTCCTCTCAAGAACTATCGATGGGCTTGTGACGTTATGACCCGGGGTCATGTACTCAACCCCATTGCCCAAGCAGAGCTTCAGATATTTTTGGATCAACTCTCACTGCTTCTTCATTCGCACTAAACTTCTTTGGCTACTGCTCAATCTTTGGACAAAATCTCAGCCTGTCGAATTCACACCCAGTATGAAGCAGATAACCTTATCGATGAATATAATGATTTCAAGAATAAAGACTCTGCATACTGGGATGACTTGGATATGGATGAGATGGAACAAGGATTGAAGGAAACAGAGTTCGAAATAAAAGCCGAACAATTGTTTTATCAAATAAGAGCATATCAACTTCAGCAACCTAGATTGGAGAAGATTGAAGACAGAATAAAAAATGAGCAGAAATTCATTGACCAGAGTTGGAATAAATTCCATGACCTTGTCATTTTCTCTATTCCTTATTTTTATGAAATTGAATATATAGCCAAAAAGGCTTTTTGATGTAATTACTTTCATCTTAATAAAGCTAAGTTTTCCTTTCTTTATTCGGCATAGTCTGATTTTATTCTATTTGTCCAAAACAAACAAAATCAGAGCTTCGAATTCACCAATTTTGTCCTTCGAAACCTGATTTGATCATATCCAATGGTATACTAGAGACCTAATTTGAACTTTCCCAACATATGGAGTGTAATTGACAACCTTTGCCTTAGGTCTTCTCTTTCCAATCATATGTCAACACAATCAATAGTTTCGAATCAACTATTTTTGCTTCGAATAAATAGTCTACCTTTTCCGAAATATGGAAACTTCCCTTAAGGATTGCACTATTTTATTTACAAAAAAAATGATTCCCTTTGTGTCATTCACTGCTTAACCAAATATTAGTTTTATGTTACTTCAAAGTCTAGAACAAATAAATTCTGGTTGCAGAGTATTTCAAATTTTACTTCAAAGGATTTTACTTTCAACAAGAAACCTAACAGTAGGTCTTTAATCCTCTTGAAGTAAACAAATATCTGAGCACTCTTGTACTCTTAGGTGTGAAATGTGCTTCGAAGTCAACTTCCTGCTTTCGAAGCTTTTCTCACCTGATTTTGGAGCCAAAGCTTGGCTTCGAAGCCAAATACTTGATTTCGAAACCAATATAAGTATTTGAGATACGTTTTCCTCCCAAATTATCAACATTAGGAAAGACTTTTCACATCCGTACCTTCAGTACTACTTTATGAATTCTACCTATTGAAAGCGATTGGGTATTTTTCAGATAGAAAGGTTTAAAAACCCTTTTATTTCGTGTTTTTAATTCACTTGCTCACCCAACACACAAACCCTTCATCTCTATTGACCTCTCATTTCCCTTACCCTCTTTTTCAACTTTGTTTTCTGAAAATTCATGTCAATGGCTTCTTCCTCCTGGAAGATACCAGTCGTGGACCGTGTGAGTCCATCTGTAGCCTTAAAAAGGATCATTACTGAAGAGTGTGAGAAATACAAGGCTGGTGGAAAAAGTGCTATCGATGGGCGCATCTTCATTCCCTGTCGCCATGAACAACAAGAATATGTGCTTAGGCCTATTTTTAAAGAGGTCCCTACCGAGCTTCCAGCACTGTATCCGCATCTGGAGGATCATTGCCTCCTTTATGAAGGTGATCTTGATTGGGGAAGCTGGAGGATGAACCGACCCCATCGTTGCTGGCCCACAGTAAGGCCAGAATGGGAGAAATGGTATGATCAAGTCGTCCCTGCTAGGACACTGGATCTTCAAGAGCTTTGCCTCTTCGACGCCCTTCAATTGTTAAGGTTTACTATTTTAGAGGACCCATTTTTAATACATGTTGTTCTTTGTTTTTGGAATTCTGCTTTCAATTTCTTCTAATTTAGATGTGGGATGATGGCTCATACTGTCCTTAACATCTGCCACATGTTAGTATTATCCCCTATTGGCACTCCCATTGGTCCAGACTACCCTGACCTATAGATGCCAATCAAAGAGGCCCATTTTGGATACTCCAACTCTGGCTTTTTATATACTTCATTGATTTGCAGTCTAAACGTTTAAAGTTTTTAACGTCAAATCCTACCACTCATGGTATGAAGTTAGCCAATATTTTACCCTATCCTTCTAACTTTGCCTTATACTTTTCTTTCTTTCACTAACTCCCAGCTTCCCCTTCTTCTCACACCTTCTGCCCCTTTGAAGTTACCAATATTGGCCTAGCCTGGTTAAGGACCTTTTTGAGTGATAGGTCCTGCTCTAGGCCTCAGCACAAAAACTTGTGGGCTTCTATTTTGATCCCAAGGGAACTATTCATTGGTACTATGAACCCTAAAGCTTATAAGTGTATCTCTGAGCCCTATTGCTCGGCCCAATTTGCTGGCAATTTGAACTCTCACAGGGGATCCCTATCCCTCTCTATAGTCAGTCCAATTTAAACCTTGCCAGCAAAGATTTGAAGGTTCCAAGATCCAGATTAGAAAAGCAACTTCCAAATTTATCCAAGATCTAATTAATTTTGAGTACCTACCCTTCATACCTCAAAGCAATACATTAAAAAGGCATCAAAACTGGTGGATGGCCAATATAGAGGTGCACTTGGCCATTTCTCCCCAAGATCTATTAATGGTACTAGACGTGCCTCAAACCAAGTCTAAAGGGACTGGAGTTGTTACTTCCTCCACTGCTCATGCTACCCCAATTCCTACCCCTACTACTACAAAGTCTGCTTTTGTTATCTCACCTCTTCCTAGAGTTACTCGAGCTATTTCGAAGAAAAGTATGCACTGCTGCTTCTTTCTTTTCTCCTTTTTATGATACTTTTGCCTTTAACTTATAGTTTCTTCTTTGGTGTAGGTGGCATAGGCGCCTTACAGGGAGACTCTCCTCAAAGAGCTTAAGCTTTAAATCTCCTTAACAGCAAGTAGAAGCAACAAAGGAAAAGAAAGCTCTTGCTTGATCCTGAAGAAAAGGTACCTGAGGCTTACGTAGAGAAAGGGGAAGCAGAAAAAGAGCAAGAGACACCATTAAAAAGAACGAAGAAAATGACAGTCTCTCTCTCTAATTCCACTGGGGACCCCATTCATGAAACATCTATTAAAGTAGTGGAAGCAGAACACTCTAAAGAAATCATTGTGTTCCAGAGGGCCGAGAAGATGAGATAACAACA